GCCCGGGCCGCCCAAGGCCGAGGGCGCGGGCGGGGGCCGCCGGGCGCGGGACGTGGCGCTGCTGTACGAGGCCCTGCAGCGCGAGCTGTGGGCCCTGGTGCGCGAGACCCTGGCCGGCCCCGGGCCGGGCGCGGGCGCCGGGGCGGGCGCCGTGGCGCAGCTGGGCCAGGTGCTGGTGCAGGAGGAGGCGGCGGACGGGCGCCGGGGGCCGGGGGCCGCCCGCAGGCTGCGCGCCCGCTGGGCCGAGGCGGTGGCGCGCGCGGCGCGGGAGCGCCTGGAGGCGGCGGCGCCCGGGGCGCCCGGGGCGCCCGGGGGCCTGGCGGCGCAGCTGGAGGCGCTGAGGGCGCGGCTGCTGGAGGACATGGGCGTGGTGCGGGGCCGCCTGGCGCCCGCCTACCCCGCCGGCCTGGGCGCCTTCGCTGTCTACCTGCGCGGCTACCACGGCGCGCTGGCCGAGTGGCTCGGGGCCGCCGCCCGCCGGAGGCTGCCGCTGGCCGACCGCTACGCGCTGCTGCACTGGCACAACCAGGTGTACCCCAGGTGAGCTAGGCCCTGTACCCCAGGTGAGCTAGCACCTCCCGCCGTCCCCAGCTCCAGAGGACCTGGGAACAGGCAGCTCTTCCCTCCTAGCGCCTTAATACACCTGGCCCGTCCAGTCCTCGGCTCTGGGGACATTTACAGTCCTAGAATCGTAGCGCTCTCCTCACTGTCATGCTGGGATACCAGCAACACCAGTCCTTCCAGTTGCAAAATCCTAGCCCCTTCCAGTCTTAGAGCCTTAGCACTGTGGACCCATCCCATTCAGTACCAGGACCTTCCCACCCTCAGATCTCAGCACTGTCCACACTTCTCGTCCTAGGATCGTAGCACCACTGATCCTTCCAGACTGAGAACGTTTGCATCGTGGACACTTGCACTCCTCGAATCTTAGCACTGTTGACCTTTTGAGTCTTAGAAAGGTCACTGTTCACCACTCCAGTCCTACAGCCTTAGCACCATTGACCCCTCCAGACTTGGAACCTATTAGCATCATTGGCCCTTCCCGTTCTAAAATCTCAGCACCATTGACCGATCCAGTCCTGGAAGTTCAGTGGTGTGGACCCCATTCAGTCCTAGAACCTTAGTACCACTGATTCTTTAATGCTAGAACCTCAGTACCCATCTTGGCACAGCTGACCCATAGAATCCTTGAACCCTTGCCCTGCGCTTTCTGTAGATCCTTGGGCATTAGCCCTGTTGACTCTCCAGTCTTGCATTTTTGTGCTGGCACAGCCCTAGAGCCTGAGCACCAAGGAGCCTGCAAATCCTAAACCTTGACCTCAGCCCCTTTTTGGATCCTAGAGCCTTGGTGCTGTTGATCCTTCCAGTTTTAGGGACTGTAGCACTGTTGCGGCCCTGAATTCTACAATCTTAACACCATTGATGTTTCCAGCCTTAGCATCTTATCATGGCCATGTTTTTGGATCCTAAATCATACCCATTCTTGTGGCGGGGGTGGGGGGG